CCATTGTCTGAGGCACGTTCAGAATGGGAACCCCATCCGTAGAGAGTGGAACGGTGAACTGTCCAATACACACCACTGGGACCTGGAGTTGCTCCCTGGCGGCGTTCATTTCTGCTCTACGTCCGGCATTGCTGGAGGAAGCCATGAAAACTGAAGTCTGTAAGTTTAGTGGAAGAAGGCCTTTTGAAGCGTTTCCCAAAGACGGCGCCAAATGATGGTGCGCAATCTGGTCACTCCTAACTGGCAAGGGGCCACACTCCAAGCTCGTGACGGACGGTACCTGAGAAGAAGAAGAGAATGAAGTATTCATGGGGAGCTCTCTCGGTGGGAACACTCTGATGCTTAAGTTAGAACTCTGAGAGAGAAGATTACAGAGAAGATGAAGAAAGCTGGAGTGCAGATAGCGTGAATGCCAAAAATTACCTTTGCCCTCTACGGGTTGGAGTTCTTATATAATGGTGCTCTGTCAAATCTGGCATAACCGCCTCTGGTTCTCTGCCGCAACCGTTACTTGTCAGGGCTGCGCAGGTCACTGTTGTAGGGTACGACTCTGTCAAGCGGGGGACACCTCTCAGGTTTGGCAGGCACAACGCCGCCTGGTGAGAGATGTGGGTGCAGGGCCCCAGGTTTGGCAGGTACGGTTGTTAGGGGGATCTTCTTGTGATACGCCGAGTTGTCTTCCTGCGAGCTACCTTGCACCGAGCTACCCTGTGTCGAGCTGGAGGTGCCACATCGAGGCGACCTACTTAAGCCTGTCGGAGCAAATTTATTAGGAGGTTCCCGAGCTCACTCTGAAGTGCCTTGAGCTCGGGAGATCCCTGTCTTGCAGTACCCTGGCTTGGGATGCCTGTGGAAGAATCTTAGCTCGGGGTGTTCCCTTCTTGAGGAGGAGCTCGTGGCTCCTTTCTTTGGAGGAGCTCTGGGGCTCCATTACTCGGGAGGAGCTCGGGGACTCCTTTACTTGGGGGGAGCTCGAGGGTTCCTTTACTTGGGAGGAGCTCGGGATAATCGGAGTGTCATCCGGTGCCGAGTTGCCATGCTGGACCTTGGCGGACTGGTCGCACTGAGCTGTCACTTATGCTAAGTCATGCCCACGTGTCCCCCTAAGATGAGGTCGGGGCAAATCACCCTCCATCACCCCCCATGGCCACCAAGTTTTCTGGAAATATATTTAAAACTGAAATATGTATTTTAGAAATATATATATAAACAAAAATATACATACAAATACATCGGAATATATATTTTCTGGAAATATATATCTGACATATTTCATAATATATATTTTTTAGATATAGATATTGGAATATATATTTTCAGATATTTCAGTTTTTGGTTAAGTAGGAACTAAGTCGGTTTGGTTCAGGTCGGTTTCGGTTTTCATATCGGTTTATGAATTTGTACAACCCCAAACCGATCGGTGCGGATGAAAACCCGGCCGACTCGGGTTGGGTCGGTCCAGGTTGGTCGGTTTGGTTGGGTTGGGCCTTCTTATGAACAACCCTAATTGGCCTACCGAATTGAATGATTTCTAACCAAGAAAATTTGTTTCATGGGGAGGTGTCGAATGTTCTTCTACAATAGCCCTTGCTTGCATATGTTATCCAGCGGCCTCCAATGAAGCTGAACATGAATCGTACTTTTGTTTTTGCTCTCACTCATAGAATAGAAGTCACCAATTCAATTAACGAGTGCAAGGTTTAGAAATGAAACCCCCTACAACCAATCTTTAGGCACATATTGGAAAGAGTACGAATATGAACAGTGTAAATACATATAAAATGATACAAAATACAAGGTTTTGCACTCTACATATTTGTATTTGTATTCCTTTCAAACTAAGCCTATAAAAAATTTTGGATTTTGCTTAGAAAAAAAATACTCAAGAAAAACAATAGACGATGCCACAAAACTATCCCTACTGTTTAGTTTATTGACTAACTCTACCTTTATTATTTAATTATTGTCTTGGAGTATCCTTAAGTTTTCTAACAATTGACTAAAACCTCTCCTACCGTTAACTTTTTGTCACATTCAATCACATATGACATCACGTGACCAATATTTTTTCAAAAATACCCTTTCAAATCTCTATGTCTCTCCTCACCTCTTTCCCTACATAGTGGACTATCAACCAAGGCTTTGCTGCCACTGCAACCTCATCCCTTCTAATGGCCCTCACAGTCCTAGAAGCATATCTAAAGATATAAAAGTCCAAATCTCAGATCTTGTATACACACCTGTCAGCTTTCTCCCCCAACCTCATATCCCAATTGCAACAATGATATGGAGAAGCTAAGCTAAGAGAAACAAAGGAAAGGAAAAAAACCAAGACTTCTCGTTTATACATTCAACCGAACTGTGGGGCAATTTTCTGGACCGAACCGACTTGTTCGGTTTAGACATTCAACCGAACCGATGCAATCGGTTAACCGCAGTTTGCTTTTTTGGTTTTTTTTATGCCTTCAAAATTAAAAAAAAAAAAGGTAATTGGAGACAGGGAGAGCAGGAGTTTGAGAGAGTGGGAGTCTGAGAGTTTGAGAGAGTGAGAATTCGAGAGAGAGAGAGAGAGAGAGGGAAAAACAAAGGTTTTACTTTTAGGTTGAAAAGTCTAACTGTCCACAGTCTGATAGACTGGAAAACTAAGTCTTAGTTCGGCAAACTAGCGAGCACTCTAGAGCCTAGACTGCCGAACTGAAATGTCTGAGTTCAACATTTATTAGATTTTCAAAAAGAATGAAAAATAATATATAATATTAATATAATAAATATAATATTATATAAATATATATTATTGTGTATATATCGGTCGATTCGGTTAACCGCCGGTTTTTTTAAATGGTTAACCGAAACTGAACCGACTGGTTCGGTTTCGGTCGGTTTGGTTTTTTAATTTTTTTTTGCTCACCCCTAGCCGTAAATGGCATGGAAGAGGAAGGGGAGAGGGATGATGAACACAGAAACCAAAACAGAGAAACTAGAATCATATTTTCCTTACATTAATGAGACTTCTCCTTGTTTGTTTGAACAAGAACAGAGAAGTCAGAATCAGAAAGAAGAGAAGAGAAGAGAAGATATACGCCTATGGATGTCGGTCTCTCTAAGAAAGAGAGCTACCTTGCTTGGGCTTTTGCTTTTCTTCTTTTTCTCCAAACCTTGAGTTAAACAGCGTTGCTCCGCCGTTGTATTTAGATCGACTGCTGCAAGCGACGACTATTGAAATAGGAAAAGGGAGAGAGAGGGAAAGAGAATGAAGGGGAAAAGAAAAATCTAACAATGGAAGAAAGGGGGGAGAGACAGATGGGAGAATAGAGAGAGGGAGCAGCAGTTTCAAAGGGGAAGAAGGTAAAGAGAGAGAGGGAGCAGTAGTTTCATAGGGGAAGAAGGTCATTCCTTATGTATTTCGCAAGACAGTTCCTTTTGTATTTCACAAGGAGTAGCAATTGTCCATCTTTGTAAAGAGAAAAAGGAAATGTCAGGAAAATACGATTTCGACTTCTCTTCTCCCTTTCTCACTCCCCATCGAACAGAAACAATGACCCAATATCAATTGTTCACCTTCATCTCGAACCTCTTGACACAATCGACATAGTAGTGGTAATCAGAGGTGACAAAACCTAATTCCTCTCTTATTGTTTTAACGGAATCAAGAGCGAAGGGATATGAGAATGACTTAATTGAACGAGGACATGCTAAGAAAAAGGTTAGAAAAGTGGTTTCATCACTGTCGGGTGTTCCTTGTTCTTTGTCCGAGAAGATGATGAACAAAGCGGCTACAGATGTGGAAAGATTGAGATGGGGGGGGGGAAACGAGAAA